GACAAAAGTATGCCAGATTGCAGGGTCATTTATTATGCCGGCGACCACAGAGGACTCACATCTCTCCAACCTGTGGCGTCAAAAGGAGGGTGCCAAGACGTTTTATACCCGAAAAACCACCTTGGGAGTGGGGGTGAGGAGTGGGGATGGGGATGAAAAGGTTTTGGACATTCCAAGGGCTAGGGGATTCTGTGATTCACTTCCTGGGCAGAGATGAGGGCGAGGGCGGGGGTCTCCGGACATTCCAAGGGCCAGGGGACTTTTGTCATTCTGTTTGTTACCTCAGTGGTTTACAGAAGTCAAGATAAGCATTTGTTTACACACAGATCTTAGTTATCCTGGGCTGCTTATTTTAGTTATTACTAAATAACTAAAGCAAAGGCTAGCAATTCTGGCACAATATCACACATTAGACAGATCACTTAGATAAAAAGCTAACAGAAAAATATTGAATTTAAACTGCACTTTAGACAAAATAGACCTAACAAAAGTTTGTGGGAACATTTTCTCCAGTAGCCACATAGTTAATTTTCTTTTCATCAGCACACAGGACATTCTCCAGAATAAACTATATATTAGGACACAAAACTAGTCTCAACAAATTTTTAAAAATTGAAATCATATCAAGTATCTTCTCAGACCCAAGTGGAATAAATCTAAAAACCAATAACCAAAACTTGGAAACTGTACAAATATAAAAAAATTAAACAACATATCCTTGAATGACCATTGGTGTAATGTAGAAATTAAGAAGGAAATAATAAAATGTTTTTAGAAATAAATGAAAATTGAAGCACAACACATTAAAACCCATGGGAAAGGGCAAAAGCAGTGTGAAGTGGGAAGGTTAAAGCAAAGAAAAACTACATTAAAAAATGGAAATATTTCAAGTAAATAATCTAATGATGCTCCTCAAGGAACTAGCAAAGAAGGAACTAATAAAGCTCAAAGTCAGAAACAAAGAAATAATAAAGATTAGAGAAGAACTAAATGAAATAGACAAAAAATTACAAAAGATTAGTTAAGCAAAAAGTTGGTTTCTTGGTAAGATCAAATTTGATCAACTGCTAGCTAGACTAACCAAGAAAATAAAGACCCAAATAAACAAAATTAGAAATGAAAAAAAAAGTTACAACTGATGTTACACAAATAGAAGAGATTTTCAAGAACTATCATGAACAACTATACACTAACAAACTGGAAAACCTAGTAGAAATGGATAATTTCCTGGACAAATACAACCTACCAAGGTTGAATCAGGAAGAAATAGAAAACCTGAGCAGACCAATAATGAGTAATACAATTGAATAAATAATAAAAAGTCTGCCAACTAAAAAAAGACTAGGACCAGAAGGCTTCTCTGCAAATTCTACCATACCAAACTTACAAAGAATATTTTCCTTAAGCTATTCAAAAAAAAGGAATAGCAGGGAATTCTCCCTAATTTATTTTATGAGGCAAGCATTACTCTGATACTAAATCCAGACCTCCCCCCCAAAAAAGAAAACTTTATGTCAATGTATTCCTAATGGACATAGACGCAAAAATCCTCAACAAAATACTAGCAAAACAAATTCAACAATACATCAAAAAGATAATACACCATGATCAAGTTTTTGTATCCCAGAGTTGCAAGGATGGTTTAACATAAGCAAATCCATAAACATGATATATCACACCAACAGAATGAAGAGAAAAAAACCGTATAACCATTTTAATAGATGCAGAAAAAGCATTTGATAACATTTAACATCCCTTCATGATAAAAACCCTCAACAACTTAGGCATAGAAGGAGTATATCTCAACATACTAAAGGCTATATATGACAAACCTATAGCTGACATCATACTGAATGCAGAAGAGCTGAAAGCCTTTCCTATAGGAACCAAAATAAGACAAGGATGCCCACTTTCACCTCTCCTATTGAACATATTGCTGGAAGTCCCAGACAGAGCAATCAGGCAAAATAAATAAATAAATAAAAGGTATCCAAATTGGAAAAGACAAAATCAAATTGTCCCTCTCAGCCAATGACATGATCTTATATTTAGAAAAAGATAAATACCCTACCAAAAACCTTTTAGATTTTGTGAATTTAATAAAGTTGAAGGGCATAAAATCAACCTGCAAAATCAGTAGTGTTTCTATATACCAATAATTAATTAGCTGAGAAAGAAATCAGGGAAGCAATTCCATTACAATAGATAAAAATAAAATACTTAAGAATAAATTCAACCAAAAAGATCGAAGACCTCTACAAGGAAAACTACAAAACACTGATTATAAAATCGAAAATGACACAAATTTTAAGAAAAATTCACCAGGCGCGGTGACTCAAGCCTGTAATCCCAGCAGTTTGGGAGGCCGAGGCGGGTGGATCACGAGGTTAAGAGATCAAGACCATCCTGGTCAACATGGTGAAACCCC